TGTTTGAAGAAGTGACAACGCGAATTCGGAAAGTTCAGTTGACTTTTGACAGTATGTGTCACCTGTGACGTTAGCGAGATGTTTGTGTGCTAACAAAAGGATATTTCACTGGTTGAAGTTATGAGTCAATTGAAGCTAGACCACCACGGAAAACCTGGTGATGGTCTAGCTTCAATTGACTCATGACTTAAACCAGTGAAATTTCTAAAATTCTCCACAAAACCCATTCTGATAAAAGGATATTTATCGGCTAGGTGAAGTTTAAATGTGTCACCTATTGGACATATACATGACGACTAGTAGGCTACATCTTAATGTACTTGTATTTCGCAATATTCCAGGAATTCGCTTAGCTAATTAACATTCAATTCATAAAAAGATTTGCGGACTAATGCCATCAACATTTAGTTGAATGAATCTCTGTTACTTACTTCAACAGATCTAATTGCAATAAATTGAATTGATGTAGGTCATAAGTATACATTCTTTTTGTAAAATATGACCAAGAATAAATGGGATGCTAAATGATATACAAAATTAGTAAATACTTGAAATATCTCTGCATATGGAACAAACCTTATAAGGTGAATAGAAAAGGTCTATTACTCACCAAGACATAGATTGTTATAATTAGGACATGGTTTAGAATGAGTCTTTTTGTTCCACAGCAATGTTCTGTCCAGTTTCACAGTACGAAAGTATCAACAACAAAAAATGAAAAAAAACTTTCCTGAAGTAAATTTCTCAGTTAGACTGATATAAATTAGCATAAGGTTTTTGCAGCGATTTTTTTAATTTTCGTAGATTAAATCACACATTGAAGTTATTCAGCTCCCTATTAGAGACCAAGAACCACACAGTTAAATTCACTACCACAAATAGAATCCAGGACCCATCGCCTACTGAAGAGTTAAATGCTGAGACGAAACACCTATCCAAAGTTGTTTTTTTTTTTAATTTTCAATATTGACCTGACGATCATGATCACGATCAAATATATGGTGATAAAAATGGTTGATTAACCCATTTACTCAAATAAAGTAAATAATTAAAAGTTGATATGAGAAACGTTCTTATAACAGTGATCAGATCAAGTAGTTCATTCATTTGATGAGGTACTGGTAGTAAAAAAGAAAATAGAGAATACTTTGGATTGGTAAGTCATTTTCCATAATTAGTAAATTTCGTCCAAGAATATTATTATAAGATTATTCTTTAATCTCTTATTTGAATTGACGTCATTTATGCATTGAGTTGATTATAATAATCGTTTATAAAAGTAATACACTTCATTGCATTTAAATTATTTTACCCTTAAATGATTTTTTGAAATTCCTAATTCCCTCATAATTTAAATCAGACCGATAAAAAAATTCTTTACATATAAATTGGGCAATTATTATTATTGATTAATTTAAACAAGTTTAAATTTAATTCAAACAATCAATAACGATGATATGAAAAAGGGGGATTTTGTGAATATTATAGTAATTTCAATAGTTGAGATCATGAATCAATTGAAGCTAGACTACCATGGAAAATCTGGAAGCACTGGATGGTCATTTCGTTCTATTGTAGGACTCCTCTGTAATGAGCATCCACTATCCTACCTCGCAAGATTCGAAAGCTTAACCTCTATAACACTGAGCCGGCCAGCATCCAACGGTGTTATTGTTTAACTTCGACTAATCCACGAAATTGAGCGACACATCCACCATTGTCTTCAGTGAGTTAGTATCTCACAATAATGATAAAATGTAGAAATTTGTAAGAACTATTTCTTTTATATAAATAAATTTCCCTCGTCTTAGTTATTAATATCCATGGAATATATTATTCATCCACTTGCCATAACAACTGTTTAACAACAGACTTGATGATAAAGCATTCTAGTACAGTGGTAAAATGTTCTTTTTGTTAAAATAAAATACACAACTTAAAATTTAATGGATTAAAATACAGAAGTTACCTAAAAGAACTTAAATATTTTATGAGCAGATAGTTGATTATTTCTAAGAAAGTAAAAAAACAATAAGGAATGGTGCTGAATCATACGCATTCATTTTATCTACCTAGGTCCTCATCAGCTGTTTACAATCTATAATGTTTTAAAATCAAAGTTATCATTGAAATTGATATACTTTTATATTCGAAGACGATAAGAGATTAATATATGTATCATGATGTAGCGTGGATTACAATACAATTAATAAGATCATAAAAATTTCATTTCAGATAATTAGTGTGAAAGGGAAAATCTCAGGAACTGCTGATTAGAAATAATAGAGTAAATATACATTACATGGTCGTTTCGACCTAATAAGGGACTCTACAGCAGCGTGCATTCACGATCTCACACTTGAACATTTAACGTTTGGACCATTGAAGCGGCATTCAACGGTGTTAATGTCTAACTTCAATCAACCTATGATCTTGCTTAACCCTTCATTCACTGTCTGAAGTGGATAACTGCCCCACATCCGACACGGTTGAACTTCACTGGTCACAGCTTCTCACTAGAACTTCGAGAATTGCATTTCGAAGCTAGTCATTAGTGAGTATGGTACCAAAAGTCCTGAGTTTGATCTTCGCGTGTGAGATCATGGATGCGCGATGCTGATGAGTCACACACTACGGCAAAACGGCCGACCAGTGCTTCGAGGCTCTCAATGGCAGTCTAGCTAAGATCGACTCATGAATACAACTGTGAAAATACTACAATCTCTATCAATCCCCATATTGATACATTAGATGGTTTTGTAGCAAGGTAACTTAGAACAGATTAATGGTAATCTTTGTTTATGCTCTCTTTTCAAAATCATAAAGAAAACTAAATGTATGAAAGTCCATTATTTGTTGTACAGTTAAAATATCGTCAATATTAAACGACACACAAAATTCAATTAGTTATAGCAGACAGTGTAAATGTCTGAAATAGGAAATACATAAATATTGATAAAATCCACACAAAAAAACAACAACCCAGAAAAATCGTAGCAATAAACATGTATTTTATAAAAATTTTCCAACGAAGTAGTTAATAAGTGATTAGTATAATATTACTAGATAAGTAACAATCTAAGGAACTGGTAAATAATCAATAAATAAATGTAAACTATTTCCGAGGAATGTTTCGGACGAATATTGTCAAATCCTTTTGCTTACATCGGGATTGATAATTTAAAAAAAAAATCACTTCCTAAATGAAATTACATACGAACCTATTTTTGTCAGTTTGTTGTAATTATCAATTTAATAGATGTATCAGTCGTACATTAAAGAAAGCCATTATATTTGAGTAAGCAAGCTAGCAATACCTAATGCATAATAATCACTACAAACAATTAACCAGTGGATGAAGCTGAAATAAAACAATTAATAATTAAAAACAAGAAAATTTAATGCCATTTTGCCGGACAGAAATCATGTTACATATTAGCAATAAAGTGTCAGTACAATAAAACTAATGATGGATAATCTAGAAGAAAAACTTAATTGTATAAGATAAGTAAGCATGAATTGTGAAATTAGTTCATTGTTAGTTTCCAATTCGTTAGCACTCTAAAAAACTAACCAACTGATTAAGTTTCGTGCTACACTCTATGGTGGATCACATTTTATTCAAACTTCATGTTCTAAGTGGTCAGACCATGAAAAAAGTTTACGGAAAACAGTTTCTTACTAACACTGAGTCACAAATGCAAACAAAAAGTCATTAAATGTATAAATGAAGCTTATAGAGTAAATTGCAAACAGTTTCAATATGTAGATATATTTTAAAGATTAATAGTATGGAACTGAACTGAAGTAGAAAACAACCTACAAATAGACTTTGTTGGATTTATTAAAAGTGTTAATATTTAATATACATGATTAATTTGCTTAGCAAATTAAGGTCTTTTATAGACTACATTGTAGAAAAAAATCGGTTGTTCAGATCAACCCCGATTGATTATTATATTTAGTTTAATTAAACTCTTAAATGAGGCATTCAGTCCAGAAAGGTGTTCATTATTCGTCAAAATATCTGATATTTTATCCACATCTTTAGAAAATAAAAACGTAATTTTAGTTTTGGGTTATCGGCAGTTTCAAATAGGTTCACATATTACTTGTCAATTAGCTTTTAACTAATTCAAACAATAAAAATAATAGATAAATAAAAGTTTTGTTACTTATTAAGAATTAGTATTTTCCCTTATTCATGAACCCATTTCTGCATATAATTATAACATCATCGAAATATAAAGTGGTATTCTAAAGTCTTATTTTAATGAAAGTCATGTAGTATGTATGAGCGTTAAGTTCGGTTTACGTTGTAGGTCCTTAATCTAATAGTGATAACACATGACTTTAACTGATAGGCGATTGAAACCCTACACCACATACATTAATTTGGTTAGTAAAGTAAAGTTTATTAACCCTCACATACAAAGCCCAGTACATGACATTGACTTTGTTACCATGTTAGCAAAAATAGGTCACTAAGCCTTATATGTATCTATGCAATTAAGTTGATTTATGGTCTTCACTATAATCTCTACAGCTTTTTAACATTTACTTATTACTGAACTAAAAAAACAGTATTAAATGTCACTAGTTGAAATCATGAGTCAATTTAAGCTATATCACCATGGGAAACCCGGAAGCACTGGACAGCCGTTTCGTCCCAGTATGGTACTCCTCATTAACACCATTGGATGCCGGCTCAGTGGTCTAATGGTTAAGCTCTCGCGCACGAGACTGATAAATCCTGGGTTCGAATTTCGCGGTGGGCCTTATCGTGAATGTGCAGTCCTGAGCCGTCTCACAATAGGATGAAACAGCCGTCCAGCGCTTACAGGTTTTTCATGGTAGTCTAGCTTCCATTGATTCATGAAATTTCTAAAATCTCCACAAAACATCTTATTATTAAATGTGACTATTGTTAAGCATTATAGAAAAAAATACATCCATACAAACTTTTTAAAGAAATATTAAAATTGAAATCAATAACTTACATTGATTAACAATTAATTGAGCTCCCCATAAACTAATAAATATAATCAATAAAATTACAATAATTATCACTGCAAATATAAAACAAAACTCCCATTTATTACGTGGTCTCCAAATGTCTACATGTTTATATTTATGTGAATTCCATAAATGAAATGAATTTTGACTAGTTTTATTATGTTCATTATCAATAAAAATACTTGTATTAGATGTACGATTTTCTTTTATATTACTAAATGCTATACAATCATCTTTTGTACAATTTCCATCTATAACTGAATGTTTTTCATTATTATTATTATTATTATATTGATGATGACGATCAGTCATATTGTAATTATTAAAACAATAATAATAATAATACTATATGTAAATGTTATATTTATACAATAAATGATTCAAGTGTAATTTGTTTAATTTGTCAATGACATAAAGAAAATTACTTATTTTAATCCAAATTTATACTCATAAATCTAATTTAATTTAATTGAATAATAATAATAAATTAAAGTTTCAATGAAATCATATTCAATATTCAATACTTTTAATTTTTGGTATACAATATAAACCTATCATAATTTTAGTTTGATGTCTATATATTTAATACACCAATCATCAGATTAGATAGATAGACAAACAGACAGATAATAGATTATAATGATAATGAATGAATGGATAGATGAATAATATTCGGCTCATAGGTACGATCAATAATATTCTTAATTCTTGGGAAAAAGAATTAAGAAAATTAAAAAAAATCTTTTTTGAAGGATCATGTTATATTTAATTCAATGAACTAATACGGTGAGACTATAATTTATGGACGACCTTTGAGCTAAGCTAGAATGATCTTGAGAGTGTCCACCTAATATCTATGATCAAATGAAGGTTCTAAACCTATGTAAGGAATTAGAATTGTTTTACAGTTGATGATTAACGTCAGGAATTAGATTTCGAGTTTTCATCACGAATTGACATCAGTTATAATGCCAAAACTATTTAACTAAATTGGATAAGTGAATTTCGCGCCAATATTCAAGGCCTATTATCTTATACCTTATTGGTTCGTTCATAAATTATAGTCTTGTCACTAATATTGTATAGAACAAGAATATTAGTAGGGACAATCGAATGTCATTTAACACAAAATTACAGGACTAGTTAATAAAATCTAACAATCATAAAGTAAATGCTTCATTTGGGAAATGTCCATCAGTTGTCTTAAAATGACTCAGACTTCATTGTTCTTGGATTTTCATACAAATTGCATTCTGTTTCCATTCTTTCCTGTTCGATCCTCTTGTCTCTTTTCTGCTGTCAGACCTTCTGTTCACGACTAACATCATAGACTACTTATGTCAATATAAATAGCACACACCACAATATGTCATGTATTTATTTATTTTTAATTTATTGCCCTTGATTAAATGATAGAAGTGAGATTTTATTATTTATTTTTGTTAAAAATTAGTTTATTAAGATAAATAATTAATTTATTTGAACAAAATAGGTTGATTATAGTTATACTGTATGATGTAATGAAAAAATAGGTCCTGAGTTCAAATCTCTAAGGGTAGAATCGTGGATGTGTACGATCATTCAGTACTTCCAGGTTTTCTATGGTAGTCTAGCTTCAATTGGTTCATGAATTTAATTATTCAAGAAAAATATCCAATACACAACTAATATTTTAATGATATTTTAAAACTTGGCAAAATATTGTAAAAACATAATATTGCATACTCTGACTTTATTTTTTAGTAAGTACTGATGATGTGAACTAAAATAACAATGAAAGCTTCATAATGAGAAATTCGACATAGAATATCTCATTCGAACAATAGTATCTACTTTGAATAAGGTACTGGAAAAAAATTTCTAAAGAAATAACTGTCATCATAGATAGAAGAATTATTATGAATGTTTATTTAACAGACATTTTTTTAATAGCTCATAATCAATGGTCTGAAATTCTTTCTGAACTATGACTTGAACTAACTTTGTTGCCCATAGCAATCGAGATACAATATTTCTATCATGTTTACTCATTTCGTTAATCATTTTTCAACCTATATGATGTACAAAAAGATAAATAATAAGAAAGAACTGAGGGAAATAAAGTAATTTTTAAACGGTAAATTACTCTAACATAATAATGAATTATTGTGTATATCTCAATTTAATAAATAATGAACCAAATACTCCTGTTCACATAAGAACTAATTTTACTGAAAAGACAGAATACTGAGAAAACGTATGATTAATAAGTACAAATAAAAATGATCTATGATGTGCTGTGATTCAATTGTATCAAACTGTTAACTTTGAACATCATCAGGCAATTATCAAATGAATGCTTAAGTATCAGAAGGGGTTTTGTGAATATTATAGTAATTTCAATAGTTGAGATCATGAATCAATTGAAGCTAGACTACCATGGAAAATCTGGAAGCACTGGATGGCCATTTCGTTCTATTGTAGGACTCCTCTGTAATGAGCATCCACTATCCTACCTCGCAAGATTCGAAAGCGTAACCTCTATAACACTGAGCCGGCCGGAATCCAATGGTGTTAATGTTTAACTACAAATAATCCACGAAATTGAGCGACGCATCCACCATTGTCTTTAGTGAGTTACTATCTCATAACAGACCCAGTTGAACTCCACTGGTCACTGCTTGTTACTAAAACTCCAGGGAATACCTCGTGAAGCCAGTCACTAAAGGTTAAGCGTTCGCCTGCGAGACCGATAGGTCCTGGGTTCGAATTTCTAGGGGCAGAATCGTGGATGCGTTTTGCTGACAAGTCTCATACTAGGATGAAACAGTCGTCCAGTGCTTCTAGGTTTTCCATGGTGGTCTAGCTTAAATTGACTCATGATCTCAACTAATGAAAAATGATTAAGTGATAAACAGATAGAAATAAATAAAAAATCAAGTTATTAATAAGTAAATAGATAAGTTTTATATACACCTCTTAAAAGAGTGAATTATCAGAACATTATTCTCTTAACGCATACATAATCGGGTAGATAAATGACTAGAGATATCTTGTCTAATCTTCAGTAATTATTAACATTATTCAGTCAAGTTCTTTTTCTGGTTAGGGTGTTTGTTAGCGAGTTAGTTTTCTACGGGATGGGGTTGTTAACCCCATATCCAATCCTCCTTTTTTATCCGGGCATGAGACCGGCAATAGCCCCAAAGTGGCTCCAGACGGAGTTAATCAGGTTTCATATTTAGCCAAGAAATCCATTGATACAACTGTTTGACGTATATTACTTTCTTTTAAATGGATAGAGGAATTAAAGGCGAAGACAATTTTCTCATACATACTAAATGTAAATTATGTCGATTTATTTTTATAACTGTATACACACTGAGATGAAACGATTTTCTCACTTAACCTAAAAGTCATAAATTAATGAACATCGGAAATTATTTTTAAAATAGATTTCTCTGTGTATAAATAAATGCATCAATGACTGACTCAATCTGACTCAAATCTGAGAATTATGATTGTAACTATTGAGGGAAATTAGTAGAGAACCATTTCAAGTCAAAGTGATTTTATTGATATTTGATATAGACTTTTGATTGGTTCTGAAAGGATCGTTTAACGTTTGGATTATAACTTTTTCAGATAAACAGTGATAGTAGAATTGAAGCAAAGGATTTCGTCCATTCATTAACTCATAATTGAGATAAATGTACACCCCGGCGTTGATAATCACAGTTAAAATTTGAATCCAGGGACTCACTAAGAGTTGATGAGCCATTTATGCCTAAATGTTGCATTAACCTAGATGTTAAAAAATTATTTAATAGTGTCAATCTTAGTGTTATTCCTAGTGGAAGCTAAAGATCATATATTAGTGTCATAAGTTCATTGTAAATGAGGTCAAAAAAACATGCGACCCAATGATAATTTGTCGTGCGTGAAACTAATCACGTTCTAATCATGACACGAATGATCGACATGAACAAAGCTGTTGAATTCAGATGAGTCATTTGTTGACTGACGAACTTATTGGTTGTAATAAGTTCGACGAAAAAATCCAAAAAATGTAAGTTGTTTAGTAATAAACTTTCCAGTGAGAATATTATTTTTGTGTTCATTGTGTGAAATACTAGAGCATCAAGTGCCACTTTAATTACCTAATTGAGCCTACTACCCCTTATGGAAGTGTATAAGCCACTCACCAGCATTCTCCAACCAACTCTGTCCTGATCAATCCTTTCCAGTTCTTTCAAAGATACTGTTCACCCTTTTCATGTCTGCTTACAATTTCCAGCACAGTATGTTCCTTGGTCTTCTTCGTTTCCGTTTCCATTCATGATTCCAAGCGAGAGCATGCCTCATGATGCAGTTTGATGATTTTCGTAATATATATCCTATCCAATTCCAACGTATTTCTCTCCCACAGTAGGCTGTTGCTAATGATATCCGGTCAACGGACATTGAGTATATTGCATAGACAATTGTTTATAAAGTACTGTACAATTTTGACGATGGTTGCGGTATTTCTTCACGTTTCAGCTCTGTACAATAGAACTGTCTTGACGTTCGCACTGAAGATTCTGAATTTGATGTTGGCTTGCAGACATTTGTTTTGAGCTCCATATGTTCTTCGGTTGTAAGAATGTTGCCCTTGATTTACCAATCCTTGCCTTTATGTCTGTATCAAATCTTCCACGTTCATCAATGATGCTGTCCAGCTACGTGAAATTTTCCACCTCTTCCAGAGCTCCTCTATCAAGTGTGATTAGGTTAGTGTTCTCCGTGTTGTATTTGAGAATCTTACCTTTTCCCTTGTGTTTGTTGAGGCCAACTGTTGTAGGGGCTGCCACTACACTAGTTTTCTTCATCTGCACTTGTTTGTGTGTGTCGGATAGAAGGGTCTGTTCATCTGTACAGTACAAATCGTCTAGCTGGATTCAACCTGTCCATTGTACTCCGTGCTTCCTCTCGGATGTTGAGGTCTTCATAATGCCTTCAACCACCAAAAGAAAGAGAAAGGGGGAGAGTAAGCAGCCTATTCTGACTCTGGTTTTCACCTGGAATGCATCTGTCAGTTGTCCTCTATGCACCACTCTGCAGTGTAGTCCGTCATATGAATTTCGTATGATGTTGACAATCTTCTCGAAGAAAATTTCCATCGGCAATTGTTCGTTCTTCCAAATCTTCCTGAATAGGAGATAGCGCATGTGTGCAGTTACTTCTATATCTATAGCTGGTGTACTGTCAGGTCTTGCTGTTTTCTCACACTTGATTTGTCTGAAAACTATTTTGATTCCTTCGATCGTTGGTGGAGTAACATCTGTAGGAACGTTTGTGTGTACTGCTTTGTTATTCACTGGATTCAATAGAACTTGTCCATCCATGAGTTTCTCGAAATGTTCCACCCATCTGTTCCTCTGTCCCTGGATTTCACTGAATTTTAGTCTTACCTTCTTTGTCCTTGATCTGTCTCTCTCGCTTACTATACTGCCCCACTAGTTTCTTTGTTGTGTTGTACAGTTGTT